ACACACACACACACACACACACACACACACACACTCCTCCAAAGCCCCCTTCTTTCACACCAACTTTCATTCTACAAATATGCATGTTCTTCAAGATATTTCCACCTGCTTGAAAATCTCCACTTCACCACCTCAAATGATCCCTTACATGAAAGTTGTGCCTCCTACTCCAGACACACACTTTTGCATAGAATCTATTCCCTGGCCTTCCTGACTCCTCTCCATTAACTCCCACCAGTCCCCATCCTAAGCTGTGCCAAGAACCGTCAGGATCAGATGGAGGCAGTGGAGTACCCCCTGAGGAACCAACATCCAACCCCAGACCAAACTACTCCATCTTTACATGTCTCTCCCCAGCCTTTCTCAGAACCATGAGGTGCAGCTCCGTCTCTGAGTTCAGCACAAAGGGCCACCATGGCAAGCAGGTAGACCATTTGCTCTGACTCTAAAAATGAATAAATAGCAGTGACCAAAACACAGGGATTTCTCAGGATAAGCACATGCTAGGCAGATGGCCACTCACTGCCCTTCTTGCCTTTGCGATTATGTGGCTTGGTTTGGCTGGGCAGTTTATGAGTTCAAGGGTCAATTATTGTACCTTTGAGACAGCGACTCTCAGGTAGTGATGTGTACACATTACCTAAGGAGTGTGACAACCTCCTCACTCACAGACAATGGAGACCGCACACCTGGGGATAGCAAGCCGTCTGACCAGCCACATGAGGTGCTGTGTGTGCCAAGTGTCACTGCCTTGGAAATGGTGAGGCTTTATTTAAAGAGAAATAACACCCAAGAAATAATACCCTCTACTGTGGGGTTCAAGACAGGCCAGTGTCCTGTGCTATTCCTCTCTTGCTGTTTATCTCTCTCTCTCTCTCTCTCTCTCTCTCTCTCTCTCTCTCTCTCTCTCTCGTGTGTGTGTGTGTGTGTGTGTGTGTGTGTGTGTGTGTATACACATCCACGTGCCTGTGGGAACAAACCAGCCCCAGAGTTGCTGCTGCTGTCCCAACAGAATGCTTTTCCAGGAGAGCGGCTGGGAGAATGACCCCTGCCAAGAGGCAAGCAGAAGAGATTTCCCTTGCAAATTCTGGCTTCCCAGCCCTACCCAATAAGGAGCCTCGTGAATACCAATGACCCAGGAGCCTCTCTTAGCCTGGAAGCCCAGACCCACAATGTACTTCACATAATAACACACCCTGCTGCCCCCCTTTACGCCCCCACCGCAACTTACAGCTCCTAAATTAGGCTGAATATAGTTCCTGTTCCCCTAAGAGCCAGACAGACCATCATAAGTAGAACTGCCTGTGTCCTAGCATTCCTCCCTAGAGCTACCCCACTCCCCACCACCTGCCTATTTTTAGAAACCAAAAATATAAAAAGAAAGATCCATTTGGATCTGATCTGTGTGAGTAACTAAGAGAACAACTCAGGTGGGAAACCCCCTCTGCACGGAGAACAAATTGCAAGTAATGGGTGCAGCAGCAACCACCTGGCCATGAGGACCACTTAGGAAACAGCAGAAACTGGCATTTAGACACAGAGCATACACAGGCCCTGGTGACAGGGCCTCTCCAGTCCAGGCAATGCCTGTGGGGATCCCAATGATTCACACACCTGCCCCCACAAACAGAGCACACCCTCGCAACCCACACACCTCTGTCATCTGCTTTTGCTTACATAACAGCACATGGTGTGACAGGCTTAATACTTTAGATGGTTTTTCTAAAAGGGACTGCTAACCCAAAAGGAAGAAGGCCACAAAGCTGTTTTCACCGACCCCTTTCCAAGTGTTATGCTGAGCCCAGCAAGTACAAGCCTTCGGAAATCTATGTTGGGCTGTTGTCTAAACTTTTACACAACCACCAGTGAGGGTGGTCTGGGCACCTTCTCTTTTGTCTGGGAATGGGAGAGGAATGTGGGGAACCTACTCAATCCTCACTTTGGTTCAAATCCTGACAGAGTCTGGGTTTCTTTAAACACAATTGGGTGGACATTCATCCTCCACTGTCCTTGTGTCACAAACACATCCGCCAGGTGCCAGTACAGTCTCTTCTCGCCGTCACCCATAGCTTGGGAGGAGGCTGCCCACATCAGCTTCTGGGCACACGGAGAGAACACATGTGCACGTAATCCCAACACCTACTGACATCCCTCCAAGTCCAGACCTATATCTCACTGGTCCTTAACAGGGGATTTCAAGACAAGAACTTCCATAAGGATGTCTCTTCCTCATAAGGTTGTTCTGTCCTGCCTGTCCGAACAGATCTCAGCTATCCAGTCCGTACCCAAGACTCACCCAGGGAACTCTGAAAGGCAGGGACGGTGCTGGAAAGGACAGCAGCCGAGGGGCAACTTTGACGACTTTTCCTTAAACTGGGCATGTCTGGGTCTGCACCCACTACCCATACACTCACAGTTGCGATCTTGATCTTGTTCTGACCTTAGCGTCCTCTACTGTTACAAATGCACCCCTCCCTGGTGTTCAGGGGCAAGCTGGGGGCATCCCGCTTCTTCCCTCCAGCCCAGAATTAAAGATGAGAAGAGAACAACACATATCCCCAAGAGAGAGAAGGAGGGGAGAGAGAAACAGACAGAGACAGAAAGAGGGAGGGGGAGAGGCAGAGGCAGAGAGAGTTGGGGAGAGAGAAAGAGACGGGGCTACAGAGAGGGAGCGCCCCAACTCCACCGAAGTACCTTTCTGGAGCGAGAGCAAGTGTCCCCCGCCCTGGGCGGCACCTGTCTTGCTGGCTCCCGCGCCTACCTGTAAGAGACCTGCTTCCGGAAAGTTAAGTCCCTTAGCTTCTCCTCCAGCGCCTCTTCCTTCTCCTTCTGCCCGGCCCCCCA